AAGACAATGGATTCAATTATTGCATGATGTAATTCAAGTAACAAACAAATAAATAAAACAAATTACAAGTGTCATTACCATCACATTTATCTAACTTTTAATATTATACCTTACATTGTTTTTCATTTTTTCTCACTATTGGTGTGTTTACCTTCCCAAGATGAATGTTTTTATGCTCCTTTCATGAACCCCTTTCACTTTCTGCGGCTTTTATGTTGCCCTGTATTATTCTAAGCGTAAAGTAATACTGTTCTCATATAAATGACCCATAAATCAACAAAGAGACCCTGTCTGTATGTATTATACATATCTAATATGAACTTAGTGTTCATTGTATTTTCCCACTTTGGACACGCAGTGTTATCACCACCCACAGCTCACTCCTCAGCCCAAGTGACTAACTTTGTTTGGCCGATTGTGCCTGTCTGGCTACAGCTCGCTCCATTACAAGTCTAAATGACTAATTAATGGTCCTGGGACAGGTGACACCAGCTCCTCAAGATCCATTTACACTCCCATCGCCTCAGGGTTCTCACTGGATGCCGCTGCACTTCTTTGCTTCTCCCTTCCATCCATCTTCTCCTCCTCCCCCCAAGCCCTCTGCTCATCTCTTATTCATCCAGAGGTGGAGTACTGTTTAAGGAGCAGGTCTGCGGAGAGACTGATGGACAGATTAAGAGGCAGGTGGAACACAGAAAGAGAGGTGCAGACTCCATGTGAGATGGGAGGGAGAGCGAGATAGAAAGAAAAAAAGCGAGGTGGGTGATATGTGACTATCTTCACAGGAGGGGAGATAGATTAACCCTGAACTCCACCTGCCTCCGGGCGCAGCAGAGTTTTGTGTTGGGTCAGACAGATAGTATAAAACCCTGTGTGTGGGTTTAAACAGCATTATTCACAGTTGCTACAAAGTCCTTCAACTTCTTACCCCAGCTGCTTTTTAAAGTGATGGACAATATCAAGCGTCCACGCTACAGGGCAAGGACAAAGATTAAATAAGATTTTAAATGGAACTGCCATCACCCAGGAGCATTGCAGTTGTACCACAGTACATAATCTGGCACCCGTATCTGTGGGCAGCAGCTGTGCAAAGCAGTGAATGCTCATAGTCAGTAATGATTTTGTACAGCAGTGTGCAAACCTCCCTGTGCTCCTCACTTTCATAGCTAACAGAGTTAGGCCTATAAGATAATGGTTTTATATACTGGTTTGTCATTTTCATGCTAACTTACTAATGAACATCCATCAAAGAGAGAAGGAATAAGAAGAGAAGCTGCACACTGTGAAAGAGAAAAGAGAAAAGCCATTTAGTGAATAAACAAATGTCTTAAAAATGCAACATTAAAGTGGGAGAAGTTGGAAAAAGGGATATTTTGGATAAAAGAATTTTTGATGCAACAAAAAGAAATCTAAGAGAGAGCAATGTGATTGTTGTTTTATTAACAAACACATACTAGACAAGACAATGCCTAGACTTTTGTAAGAAATAAGTCAACACAGACAAGGTAACGATTTGGTTTGGATACTCTATGTGGGCTGATTGTATATACTCTCACAAAGGCCCATTTTGAACCAGGAGATTTTAAGCAACATAATAGTTTTATAGTTGCATTTCTCACAGTATCCTCTCTCTGTGTGTTGCCAGAGAAATGATCAAGGTGCAGGTAATGTCTTTGATGTGATGAGACGCTGTGTTGAGTCATGATAGGAAATCTAAGCACCTAACACCAACTGACACCCTCAGGCTTAGTGGACTGTTTTTACAGTGCTCACCTGCTTTAGATACACACACTTGTGTCCTTTACTTGGCTTATTTGGATAATATGTAATTATGAGTAAGTCCGGCATGTGTCAGTCATGTGCCAGCTGGAGGGAGGATGAAGGAAAGATCAGGTTGGCTCTTAACTCAAGGTTAATGAATGACAGATGATGCAGGTGGGATGAAGGAGAAATCCAAAATGACAAAGTAAATGCAGGAACCATTTGAAGCGAATAAACAGAGCAATTCAAGATCATAAAAAGTATCCAGTCATCAATGCATGTGATCAAATATAATTGCAGCATGTGCAATGATTTGCATAATGCATACACAGGACAGCAGTAAGCTTCTGCTAATTTGGCACGTGTGCCGGGCCTGTCAGAAATAATGACACACCTGAGGATTAGACCAAAACTGGTCACTCACTCTCAAGTTTACAGATACACACACACACACACACACACACACTCTCTCTCTTACTGTAGTCAGGAGATAGGGATGGGCAGCCTTGAGAAAATCAATTACGAGGTTCAGTGTCAAATTAAAGAGCATGGTGAGGGCACCGTATCCCAGCAGCAGCCTGTGAACAGCAGCCACCACTAAATCAGCTCTCAGCTCTGGCAGATAGAGTGGACACCCAGGTTGTGGAGGAAGCAAAGAGGTCTTGAGAGGATAAGAGGAGGATTGAACAGATGTCCTTGTGTGTTTGGAGGAAATACTGTCTGCTATGTTTTAAAAAAACAACCTGACATTAATTTCTGCTTATCAGCAGCAACAGCAGTAAGACCATTTTCCCAACATTTGTTATCTCGTTGTGCCCTGTTGTTTCTGTGTCTCGGTTTCTTGTTCTCCCTCTCCCTCTGTCTATATTTACATCCCCACCATAACCAGTTGTGTCCATTTGTTGCTGATGGAGTGCTCTTGAGAATGACAGCGCACTACAATCAGCTTCAGACTCCCCCTGGTGCTGTGGTCTCTGTGATAAGCACCAGTCTTCCAACTGTCCTTAAATGAATAATTTGTAATTTAGTGAAATCACAAATTGAGAATCTAATTTTCTTGTCAGGTTTGAGGAAAGATCAATACCAATATTATACTGAATTTTATTTACTTAGGGTAAAAAAATCAATCATAATCAATAGATTGTATTTACACTAACACAATTTCTGTGCAGATGCTTTTGCTCAGATAATCTGATTTACTTTTAAACTGGCGTTTGTTTGTTTTTTCATGAGTTGGTACTCTTATTTCCATTTTATGTAAAGTTCTATATCAAAGTGCATAGTGTTGTTTTGGGCAAGAGTGTGGTTTCAACTATGCGTCAGTTTGGAGAAAGAGTCAAACCAAGTCCACGAAGAACTGGCTTTCTAAGACTGGTGTGAAAGATTCTAGTCATGTATAGCCCTGCTGTCAGTCTCATCCAGTGGCTTGAGATGAACTGATGAGCAGTGAACACACATCACCGCAGCCAGAGTCCAAATGTTAGGATAAGACTACAATCAAAATGAGATTACAGATACATGTTTTGCTGTATAAGAACAGAAACACACACAAAGAAGAAAAAGAAAGCCAAAGTTTGATTTAAACTTTTATGTTGTTGATAGGCCGTTGTTGTAAATTTGTGACGGATGTAATGAACAGAAACAGCAGCAGGTGGGAGAGTGAATGCTACTAGAGTTTCTTTCTTTCTCTGCCCTAGTTTGTCATTTTTCTGTTTCTTTTGCTCTCCAGTTCTTTCTTCTTCTTCTTTTTTTCCTGCCCTCACTTTCCTTCTTTGTTTGTGCCCACAGAACTTACTGCAGTGCTCTGCCGTATGGAGGCATCCATGCTACTGACCCCTGGGCAGTCTCTGACTTTCCCCTTTTTCTCATCTTTAGATCTTTAGTTTCTTAACATTTAAAATGGAACAAACCTCTTTCCTTCTCTGTTCTCTCCTTCCTTTGATCATTTCAACTTAGGCTACTTCCTTTTGAACACAGAACAACACAATAGCCCTTAGAGTCAAGTACTGCTCTGTGGAGCTGTCCAGGGTGCTGAAGCTCTAGTTTGTTTATTAACTAACCTTTTGACCAACACATAATTATGACTGAAGAATAAATACTCCTGGCACATTTGCACAGTTTCTGCTTAATATACAAGCTACATTGAACAATGTACTCTGCCATGGTACCCTAGGACTAATGTTTCCAGATTCCTTACTGCGTAATTAGAGTATAATTCACTTCATCCTCATTAGTCCCAGAAATAAATGTAAACATCAGTTTTTTCATCCTCTGGTTTCTGGGTAAGTAATGGTACAAAATGACCGATCAGTCCCGCATGTCACTCCAGCATCACAGGCCAATGCAAAACTCTGATTTTGGAGCTGCTTATTTATTCAGGCTTATTGATTTGTTTGCCAACTCTGTACTGTAGACGTGGGGAGCGTGACCAACTCTCCAAAAGTGAGTTTTCTTTTTGTGGAAAATTGATTAATTGGAAGGAACTGACCAAGGCCCCATTAAACATTCTGCACTACCCAAGCATAATTACAGCAACTCATTTGCAATGAATGCAAAATGTAATTCAAGCCTATAATAATGTAATAATGGAAACAGCATGAATGGGGAGGGGGAAAAAAACCCAATAGCCTTGGAGATAAATGACTGTACAGCTATCCAGTAATGGTAAACAGTGTCCCATTTAAAATTTGTAGAATGAGCTCCATGGATTCAATGAACAGTTCTGATTATTACTGTTATGAACATTAATATTTTGTTTTTGGTATTGAGGATTTTTCACTGGTGAGCATTTAAGAGAGTATTTCTTCAGGAAGAAAAGCTAACATTAACATTAAAGTCCATCCTTCCAGTGATTCCAACCATTTTCAGGGACTCATGTGATCTATTCTTCTTCATATTCCCTTTTTAGCAAAACAATGAATTCTAAAGGAAGAGGGCTCAGAAGAACATTAAGCTTGCCGTGCATATCTCTCTCTCTCTTCCCCTCTACCCCCAGCCCTCCTCTCTGTGACAGACGTCAAAAATACCACCAAGGGAGCGCGGATCAGAAGCTTTCCACGCAGCCACACTTCACACTTGGCCGTCTTCAGCCGTTCTCATGCGTGCAAATCTCAAACAAAACTCATCTTTACTGCAGAAAAACACGACTCCAAGGTGACAATGAAGAAAGCCGTTTATTTCTATCCCGTCTGCTCCAAGTAAAGGCAATACGTCCGACTGACACGACTTTACACGCCTGTGAGAGGATCGGTCACCTTCTTTGCAACACCCATCGGCATATTCCTGTTTTGAGAGAAGGGGGGGAAAGAGGGAGAAGATGTGGATCTTTTACAGTTCGGACGATTCAAAGTGTATCTTTTCTATTTGGAACCAGTGGTGTTTGTATTACGCAGCAGTGATGTGTTTGTTGTTTTCGCCCGTAAGGATGGACGACGCGTGCCCGTCGTCCTGCATCTGTACCAGGGGCTTGAGGACGGTGACCTGCCGTGACGGGGACTACACCGAGGTACCCAGAGACATGCCAAAGTGGACGTCCACCTTGACACTTACGGGGAGTAACATCTCAACTTTACAGCGTGATGCGTTCATGACCAACGGCACGGAGTTGGAAATGACAACACTCTCTCTGTCCTATAACGGGATACAGGCTATTGAACCTTACGCCTTCCTGGGGCTTTCCCGGTTACATTCGTTGGATCTTAGCCACAATCAGTTGGAGTTTATCTCATCCAGGGCTTTCCATGGATTACCCGATCTGCGCTCTCTTAACCTGAATTACTCCGTTTCTCCTGCGGCCACCGCGCAGCTCTCAGATGCGCTCAACACACAAAGTTTGCGCAACCTGCACAGACTGGAGTTGGCGGGAAACAAGCTGACGTCTATCCCCCTCGAGAGATTAGATGTCTTTAACCTCCACGAGTTGGTGCTGATTAATAACTCAATAGAGATCATCGGGGAGGAAAATGTAACCAGTTTGTACCAACAAAGGCGCATACGCGTCTACTTGTCTTTAAATCCGTTTCGGTGCAGCTGTGAACTGGAGGCGTTTTACTACTGGCTGAAGAACTCGTCCCAGTGCCTGGATGCAGGGCGTCTCCTGTGCAGCGAGCCAGAGGCTAAGAGGGGGATTCCCGTGGAAAAGCTCCGGGGAGAGGAGGTTGATTGTATGAACGAGAACCTGGAGGCGGTGTCATATGTTTTCCTAGGTATAGTGTTGGCTCTCATCGGGGTGGTGTTCCTGATGGTACTTTATCTCAACCGGGGAGGCATCAAACGGTGGCTCAACAACATCAGAGAGGCCTGCCGTGACCAGATGGAAGTATATCATTACCGCTATGAGCAGGACTCTGACCCCAGACTGGCCAACGTGGCTGTTTAACCAGTCGAAACACCAATCCAGTGCTACATAGTGTGAGGACAGACGATATTACCAGGATAACTTATTTATCAAAGACTGTGGCCTTGACCTGTCACAACTACAACTGATGGTTTTTTAAAACTAGTTTCATCACGTTCAGCCCATGAATTCACTCTGGGAGATGCACAGAGCCAAAGGCAGTTAAATATAAGTAACTGTTCATCCAGCACAACTAAATACTTCAATCTTCTCAGCAGTGTTGTACATATTGTATATAAGTATCTCCTCATAGCAGAAATGCTTTCCATCCGTTGTGTTATCTTACACAGCCCCACTTGTTTAGTATTTACCCTCAGTAACCGTCCAAAGCGCACAGTAAAGGTCCATCAAATTTCCAATTTGAAAAGCTGAGTCAGCGTTATTACCCAAAGCTGCGGCCCCTGCTTAATATTTTACATTCAGGAGAACCTGCGCAGAGAGCAAGACTGCTTTTAATCTACCAGGGAGTGCATATTGTCAGAAAACTGTCAGAGAAGGAAACTCATTTGGCATTTTTTTTTATGGAGTGCCATGTTTGTGGAATATGTTGCACACCATGTTTTCACGAAGACCCTTTTATCTCAGAGAAGAACGTGTGTCATTTGACACCAGATCAGCTTATCAGTAAAACTGTGGAAAAAGTGAAAGAGAGACCAATTTTAACCGTGCATGTGATTCCTGTAGGCATAGAAAACCAACCAAAACATTAATAAAAAGCCAAACAAAAAAAAAAGAAAAACCATGAGTTTGCAGTGTGTCTGTACATTTTATCATCACTGTCAGGGAATGTAGACTTCATGCAGCACTATGTCAGACATTAAATGTATTTTCTTTCCTGCTGTGTTTCTGAATGAGTGTGCAAGCTCCCGGTGAAATTTGCAGAACGTGTGACTTCACAAACTAAAGTGAGGTGTCAAGGACTAGAGGGAAAGACTGGAGAGATATGACATAAAAGTGCATTTGTGTTAATCACATCAGGACTGTGACTAATAACCTGTAAAGACTGATCATGGTAGTCGGTATCTTTATGGCTCACGGCTGATCGACCTTCTTAGCTAAAGGTCTCCATTACAGTCAAGGTCAATTACTAAAGAAAAACAAGGTAGAGGGAGGGCCCAGGTGGATCACTGTGTGTATATGAAATGAAAACAAACTGTAGCTATGGATTTCTAAACAAGCAGTAGGTTATTTTCCGTTGTCAGATCATTAGTGGAAGGTAAGAGAGTGAGTAAATCAATGTACTGGGCATACCAACTAACCAAGGAATCAGTGTAGCAGCTGTTCCTCCCTCATAAATCATAACAAATGTGATTAATACACCTGATTAAAGACAATGAGGCGAGAAAATTAGAATCATCCACACCGCACTGGATGAACAGTTCTAACAAAAGGAGCGAGGTGATGATTAGCACTTTCCGGTGGAGAGAGGGATCAAGCAGTGACAGATCACTGTGATACAGATGGCCCCCTCTCTAGACAAGCTACAGTTATTTATGTCTTCATCTACAGATTAAAATATTACAATATCTGCATGTTTAACGTAAACTTCCAGTTAAGGGATTAGATAATGAATACATGGACAGATTTTTTTTAAAGCCATTTTATTATGTCAGCAGGAGGACGCACCTTTACGTAACAAAAGACTGTGACACCGTGCCACTTCGTGACATGCCACTGTACCATACGCTGTCATGTTGCATATGAAGTCTGAGGTGATAAAGCTAATCACCAGGACAGCAGTGTTCAAGGATAAAAGCTTTTGTGTGCTGTATATGCATGTTCCACGTCTGCAGCCATGCCAGCAGCTCTGCGAGGCTGCACTGAAACACATTGGCGCTTTGAGCTCAAAGCTACCAACAGTTCACATGTTCACTGTTATGATTCTGATGTCAAGCGCGTATAATTTACAATATTTACAAACCTTAGTTTAGTGCGTTAGCATTTGTCAGAGTTCACGAAAATGAAGATGGTAACCATGTAGATTTGATTGCTTACATGTATATCGAGTCATGAAAGGACAAACTGGACTCATGAACATTTTAAGATCTTTGGCATTAGATAAAAAGTTGGAGGATGGTGACCAAGAATGTTTTATTGCTCTCCAGCATTTCAGTCTGTGGGAAAGTGGTGGGGCAGGCCATCCCCGGAGTAACATTACCACTGTGCCTGAAAATGAAGAATCCAGGCTTAATTCAAAGTGAGCACTGTTGACAAGTAACAACCTATAAAAGTCCATAATTTGAAATGTGTGTTGTTATTCTGTCAAAACCAATTTTTTTAGTTGTTCTTAGAGATTCGGCTTAATCTCATAACAATGTGCTACATAATGAAATGCAAGATTGCTGAAAGCACACTGTCTGAATTTTTCAGGCCTTTGTGGTGTTACTACGAGGTCCAGAATATGAATAATGGATGTGTGGATTTTAAGCCGTTGTTTACAAATGCAAATAAATGTGAAAAAGCTAATGAAATGCTAAATCATCCCCAGACTAATGGTTCGGGGGGTTGCCTTTCGGCAAACTAATTCTGTTCTTAGACATTAGAGAACACAAAGCATTTGATAACAACAATAATAATAATGAAGGAAGACTGATGGAATATAGGGGATAATGTTATAATGAGACAAAACTGAGTTTCTTAACTTACAGTATGCGCTTCTGGTTTCAGTTTAAATGCTGGGCTTGTGTGCCTTTAAAAATCCAGAAGTACAAACCCACACAAACTTGACTAGAGCCAGTTGGGATCATATATTTCTATGATATTCACAGTTACATCCCCCATGATCAGTCCTGCTACTTCATTTAGTCAAAATATAATCTCCTTGGCAATTAATTTTATTCCAAACTGAAATCAACATAAATCAATGATCTTCCTAATTTCTGTTTAATCCCGACCTTGACTATGTCTCCTTTATCTTTCTTCTGCGTGTTCTCTGCCTCTTTGACCATCACCTTTTTCTATTTTCTGGAGTCCTGGGCCATAAATAAACAGGTGGGAACAACAAACATCTTATTTTGTCTTATTAAAGTATCCAGACTTGCTTCACAGCTCAGCGCTCTCGGTTTTCTTTACCTGTCATTTCTCCTCTTTTTGGTTTCTTCATTTTTCTACATTCTGCTTACAATATCAGACCTCCTCTGTACGCTTGCACCCCCACCCTTCCCCGCTCTGCCTATTCGCTCCCTCCGCTCCTCTTCATTCAGGTAAATGACTTTATCCAGTTGAGTGACTTTGTAAGGATGCAGAGACAGGGTTTAACTGAGCCCAGCAAAAGGGAGGGACAGAGGAAGAAAGATAAAGAAAAGGGGAACAGAGAAAAGATTCATTAGAGTTCTACTGTCCAGGCTACAAATGCCCTTGCCTTATGCAAAACGATGACTCATCGCCTTGCTCTATATATGAATGTCTGGGAAGCCAAACACAACTGCTGTCTAAGAGAGACCAAACAGCAAAAATGTTATCTTTGAATATTATTTAACTCAATCATGAGCACCTAAACCTTTTTAAATGACCTCTGTCATTCTTTCATAGGAGCATTCGGATGTCTCGCTTTGCATATGCATCACTAGATGTGACAAAATCAAGATGCAATGAGTCACAATCAAATAAGATGTTTGCACCCTGTCTCTGTAAAACTGGTTTCCTGGTCTGCTGAGTGTGTATGGAGATGAGTCTGCCAGTTTGTATTCTGTTGATTACTGGTTATTGATTGCTTCTGTTTGAATATAAGAGAAACAGTTTGGCTTTGTAGGATTGTAGGATATGGGAAGGAGCAATGTTGCTGCAGACTGGGGTAGACTGTAAACACAAGCGAGTTAAACTTATTATAATGTCCAGCAACTAAAGGGGGTTTTCAGTGGTAATGTGTTTAATGAGTGCTGAATGGCAGTTTTCCTCATGTGGAATAATGACCGAACAGAAAAAAATGACATGCTGTTACCTGTTTCTGAGTTTTATACATGCTATCTACTCAAACCCATAGGTAGCGTTTTTTAGTACACCCAGGCTTTGTTCACTCTGTCTTTAGAATGACCGTAATTCCCGGTGGCAGAAATTCAACAAGATGTCTGAAATATTCCTCAGAGATTATTGGTCCATATTGACATGATAGCCTCACACAGTTCCTGCATCCATGATGTGAATCTCCTTTTCAACAACATCCCAAAGGTGCAATATCTGTTGACTGTGGAAGACATTTGAGGATAATGAAAGTACTTCATTTTATTTGAGCTTTGTGACATGGCATTGAAATGTGCTCAGTTGATACTAAGGGACCCAAAGTGTGCAAAGAAAATTTCCCCACACCATTATTACACCATTGCCACCAACATGAGCCACTGACAGATGCATCATGGCGGGATGGAGCCATGCTTTAATGTTGTTCATGTCAAATCTGACCCTGCCATCCAAACGTTGCGACAGAAATTGAGTCTCTTCAGACAAGACAACATTTTTCCAATCTATTGTTACATTTTTGTGACCCCGTGTGAATTGTAGCTTCCACATTTTATGGCCACAAGTGATTAACCTCAAATTGTTTCTTCAATTTGAGAGTCATAACTTTGATTTAGTAGGATTTCAGAAATTTTTATTTTAGTCCCTCTGTTTTGTATTGAACAGCAGGACTTACTGCTTCACTTTTTCAACCATGTCCATACTGCAGGAATCAGAGGACAGGATGAGGCAGAAAGGATTTTCCTCCAAACTATGGAAGGGGAGTGAATTTTACTGTTGTTTGGGGGGTGAGGTGGAGGAAGGTCAAACATCAGAACAGGAAAGTGAAAACTCTGAGCAGCTAAAAGTTTGATTTCTTCTTTTATCCTTTCAACTTATTTAATTGATAATATATATGCTAAAAATGCATTAAACTGTACAAGTCTCTCTTTTTCAGGCCATTGTCTGTAAACTCTAGACTCTAAAATCCCAGTAGTAGTAGTTTCTGCAAAGCCACTTCACCTTTCATCCCACACTACACATTTCTCCCTCATTCTGATGCTCAGTTTGAGCTTCATGCTTATGCCCACATTTACATGGCTAAATGTACTGGGTTACTGCCATGTTATTGGGTGATAACATTAAAAGTTTGCAAGAACAAGCAGGTGAATAGTTTTATCTAAAGAAGTGGCTGGTAAGTGTATATCTTAATTCATGTGATGCAATTAAGTTGTATGGAAATACCTGGCTGACTGATAGCATGTCACTTCAGTCAGGTATACGTTGGGGGTCAATATCTGCTGCATTTTTTCAGCATTAATGATAATGACATGCACAAGGTTTAGGATTAGAACAACAGCAAAGCACAGATGTGCTGTGACAACAGGCATAATTCAAATGAGGAGATTACTCAATATTCTCGTGCCATACTGGTGCTTGATGAATCTGTTACATTTCATTGTTTGCAGAATTGGTTCAAGATTAGTCATCAGCCTCTAATCAACCTAGTTTGGGATACCTGAACTGTAATTTTATGCTGTTAATTCCACTGTAAGATACATGAACCATATGTGCTTTTTTAGCAAGAAGGTAAAATTCATTAAATTTTGCTCAAAAAATTGAACGAGATTAAAATGTTGC